AAATCACAGTTTTGTTGTAGTGATAGAGTATATTATGGGAGAGATTTAACTACCGTAGATTTACAAGAAATCCTAAACTTGATGGAATGGAATCGTTTAGCTCATTGCACTGCATCTCTATCTCTTGAAGTTGGCTCAAATTACCCACTTCATTAGGGATAAATCCCCGAAAATTGTTGTTGCTAATAATCAAGGATCTCAAAAAATAGAGTTCACTGATCTCTATTTCAATAGTACCTCTCAAGCCCATATTTGTTAGATGTTAGCGTAACCCTTGGATATCTTTTGCTACAAGTAAAACCAATCCAAAATTTTATTTGGATCAGAAATTTGAGATTTGAAGGCTAGAAGAGTATACTCATCAGCTCTTGAGAGATGTAAAAATATCGATAAGCAAATAAAGCATTGTTAGGAAGGTAAATATCTCATTTTTTCCCTTGGCTAATTTGAATGCATAAAGAATATTGGGAGATGGCAGTAATAAGTTGTTTGATATAATTTTAAGTTTATATAATTCAAAACTTCCTCCAAGATAAGTGTACAAGGTATTCTATGGTTAAGAGTTGTGCTTGGGTTTCATCTTAAGTGAGTGGTGCTCATCATTTCTCCATTAACTGTGGACTCCACTTCCTTCAAAAAATTTTTTTTTTAAAAAATTGCTTCACTACCAAAGTTGAGAATTCCATTGAGTGCACTTTTCTTCATTATAATAATTGTGGAGGTTTTCTTTTTCATTTGGTGCATAGATTAACCATGGACTCCACTTCTTTCAAATAATAATAATAATTTGCTTCACTACCGAACTTGAGAATTCCGTTAAGTGCATAGATTTTCTTTTCTTCATTATGGAAATTGTGGAAGTTTTTCCACGAAAGAAAGAAGCTTTCTATAAATAATTCAAAAGAATTATTTAACTTTTACGGACTTCATTGTCCACCAATTCCCACATTTTCATGTAGATTTCATCTTACAGATGTGGTGCTTATTGTTCTGTTAATCGTGGGACTCCACTTCTTTCCAAAAATTAAATTAAATTTGCTTGACTACCAAACTTGAGAAATCCATGGGTTGCATAAATTTCTCTTTTCTTCATTGGGAAATTGTGGAAGTTTTTCCATGAATGAAAGTTGCATTCAACAAAAAATTTGAAGGAATTACTTAAACTTTTAGAGATTTTATTGTCCTCCGATATCGATCCCACATTTTCATGTAGATTTCATCTTGAGTGTTTCTTATAGCTCCATTAATCGTGGACTCCACTTCTTTCCTACCAAACTCAAGAAATCCATCTGGTGCATAGATTTTTCTTTTCATCATTGTGGAAATTGTGAAAGTTTTCACTCATTGTGGAAATTCTAAAAGTTTTTATTCATTATGGAAATTGTGGAAGTTTTTCCATGAATGGAAGTTTCATTTTATAGATAATAATAAAAAAAATATTTAACTTTTACACTACAACAAAAGTAGCATTTTGCAGCGGTCAAAAAAACGTTGTGAAATATCTTTCCCAACGTTCGGGCATAAGTTGCAAACCTCGATGTTGCCGTAAATTAAAAGGATACGGCAACGTTCAAAAACCGTTGCAAATAACTTTTTACAACATTTAAAAACCGTTGCTAATAACCTCTTTGCAACATTTAACGAATGTTGCTAATAACTTTTTCGCAATGTTTTTTG